TCATTACATCCCTTCAGCGAAGAAACAAAAGCCAAACAGCAGAGTGTGACCTATTGGCAGACTATTTATGTTGCCCACATCGCAGGCTAAACAGCGCGAGGCACATGTACAATTTTCAGGGGCGTCCCGATCAATACGCCCCCGTAACTAGATATCATATCGTTTTTGAAAATCCATCACACCTGTACTCGCAAGCAATATACATCGTTTATAATGAAAAAAGAAAGAATAAAAAAAAGAGAAAAGCCCCGAGTCAGAAAAGATTAGAAATGGGTGAGATGTTAGAGAGAAAGTGGGGGAAGAACAAGAGAGAGGGAAGGAGGGGTGATTGAGGAGAGATGAGGGGAAGAGAATTAAGGAGACTGATGGTTGAGTGCAGGGTCCAGGGGGCATGGATGAGTGTGTTTGTGTGTATGTGAGTGAGCGTGTGTGAGTGAGTGACCGTATGCCTCACACACACCCACACACCCACACCCACACAGAGAGGGTAGCTCATGAAGACAAATGTAGTGACCTTGCTTAGTGATAAGGCATGAAGATAAAGTAGTGTTGGATGAAATAACTGAAAAACACCAAGAGAAACAGATGTGTGTGTGTGTGTGTGTGTGTGTGTGTGTGTGTGTGTGTGTGTATTTGCGTGCATGCGTGTGTGTGGGAGTGCAATAGAGATAGACAGGTAGACAGAACAGACAGATGGAAGGATGGAGAGACAGGGAGATAATAGTGAGACGGAAAGAGATGAGGAGACAAACAGACACAGATGTGGCTCAATACTGAGAAAGGCAAATAACAATAAGATATGAAAACAGGCAGTGACCATATCACACTATTAAACTACACACAGGCGCGCGCACACACACACACACACACACACACACACACACACACACACACATATTTGGAGTCGCCCAAACAACACACAACGATTTTCAGAACCAAATGATTTAACGAGTTACTTAACACAAGCAGAAAGTCTTGTTTTCTTTGCTGACTCTCACTGGTCTAAGTTCTCCCCTTGTCACAGTCATGTGACAGTGTGCTTAGGTGTTGTCAGAGCACAGTGACATCACTGTTGGGTGTGGTTACAGGGCAATACAGCACACTTCTGCATCAATCAGTAGAGAGGAGCTTGGTATGAGGTTCTCTTCCCATTTTGTACATGTACAGAAGCCATATCTGAGTGGCTGAGTCATTGGGTTACTTGTAGGTAGACAGCATAATTTCTGAACAACTTGGTTAAGTCATGAAAAGGTTGCTTTGGTGACGAAATGGTGAATGACTCTGTTTTCTACATTTCAACACAAGAATTAGGAATGAGAAAATAGCAGTTGAAAGAAAATCAAAATCCTCCAGAGGCTCAGACATTTTTGTCAGTATGCGTTGAAACTTGTGAACTCCAAGCTGAATGTCTCAGCTTAAATTTACGATCTCGGAGATCTCCATTTTGTACTCTTTGGCGGCACCCATGGGGATAAGCGATAATTGCAGTGTGTTTGATGCCAGACTAAGGCTTGAAACCAGGTTTTTGCATTTATTTATATCAGCTCATTTTATTAGCCCTGCAGCTGGAGAGATGAAAGGGTTACCACAGCATAGACTGTGAGTGTATATGTGTGTGTGCATGTATGCACATATGTATGTTTCTGTGTGTGAGAGCTGATTATTAATGACTATGCGCCACTTGTGATACACCCAGGTTATAATACATGCAAGTGTCTTCATCAGTGGGCCGCTGGCACAGTTACCAATGTTTTAAGTCATTCGGTGATGAGTACTGGATTAACAGACATTTATTTAAATGAAAATCGCCGTGATTGATGCTTAGGCTGTGAATACCAACATTTCTATTTGAATGAACACAACTGCATATACTGTATATGCACCATCTTATTCTTGTCAACAGTCTTGTTGCTGATTTGCACTCGGTCTAAAACAACTAGTTGCACTGACAGTACAAGTGTTGACAGATGTAAAGTATCTGTGGTTCACAGAAATGTAGAAGGCCAACATTTTTTGTGGCGATTGGGTTGTCTAAGTGCAGGGAGTGTCTGTTTTTGGAGAAACAGGACTGGGGAGCAATTGATGTTTGTTTTTGGGATAATGGGCTTTTGGAGAAATTGGCTTTTGATCCATTACCATGTTTTAGACTAACGGAGCTTTAGAATTTTGGGCTGTCGAAACATTGGCAGTCCGTAGATCATATTATTTGCAGTTTAGTCAGGACACTGTGTAACTGTTGGTACAGTAGAAAAGACTTAAAGTTTTGTATGTATCATCTGATAAGAGAACCTAAAACATTTTTAGATTCAAACCAAATTGATTTTTTAAAAAAAAAGACGTTGACAAGTTCGTAAGCTAGCGTGTAAGCTGGCTGGGTAACAGCTGTTTTTCTGATTGCCTCTGTTATTTCCAAAAGAAAGCCAGTTGCTGATGAGGGTTCTATTAAAGCACCCATATTGTAGAAAGTCAGATTTCCATGTCTTTTTTATTATAAAGCAGGTTTAGGTGCTGCAGAACTACATGACTACATATAAAAGTATAAAAACGCTTAGTCCACAGAGAAATGCACACAGTCCATACTCAGAAACTGTGCCTTGAAACGAGCCATAAGGACTTCCATGGAGTTGTGTGGTCACAAATACTATGTATCAATGTAATAGAAACTGCCGCTACAGTGCCGACTCAGTCACTCCCTGACTGCAATGATGGTTCAGAGAGCGCAGATATGGAATATCTGGAAATGATGACCAATCAGGGCAGACTGGGCTTTTCGGGAGGGGTATTCAAGAGACAGACGCTAAAACAGATTTCAGAAAGAAAGGTATGTTCAGGCAGACGTTATGAGGAAAATAATAGTAGAAACCCAGACTACAAGTATAATCCTGAAAATGAGCATATTATGGGATCTTTCACATTGGCAAAACACCAGAACTAGAATTTAACTGTTAACCCGACCCATCACCGTTAAGTTAGATTATGTTCACAATTACAGTGGAACACCCAAGGCTTCTGTGGACCAGTTATGGAGCTACTTTGTCTGTTGAACACCCACTTACCTGCACTGATCCCTGACATATTTCCTCCCCGTGGCTACATCTGCTTCCAGTACAATTTACAATACCTACACATAGCTGTTAATTTAGCTGGGCCTTCTCAAACTACTCGTGTTTCGGAATTGAGACCAGGAAAGAGACAAAAATAGTGCCCCAGTAACTTAAAACAACTTCAAATTTGGGAACAAATCTATCGGACTATACTTTTTTACTTGACCACAACAGTTTTTTTTTTGCAGATATCTGCTTTCTTGTTATACATTTAGTCATTATTTGTGGGGAGCCAACTCTGTATGGTGGCGCCAGAGAACAAAGCTGAAAAGTCTTTCTTGAGAAAGGAAGATAGACAGATAGACATCTAGATAGACAGGCAGATACGAAGGCAGGGAGACAGACAGCAATCACACTGCACAAACACTGTAGAGGTCAATGCTATCACGGAAACGAGCGGGTTATTTCGTAGCATTTCATCATCATCATCTATCTCAGTCGCTTGCGCTCTCTCTCCCTCTTTCATGGCTGGATTTCTCATTGATGACAAAGCCATTTATGTCTCTCTTATGTTTCTCCCCCGCCTCCCTCCTCTTCATCCTCCCCCCTCTCCCTCCTCTCCCACCCATCCCTCACTGTCTCTCCCTTATTCTCCTTGCTATTTATGCTTCCTCTGTTTTATTTTTCTGTTTTTTTTTTTATATCCCTCGCGCTCTCTCTCGTCTCTCATTCTCAATTTGCGTCTCCCTACTTTACTCCCCCCTTTGTCTTTCTTTGCCTTGCTTGCGCTCACATCTCGGCTATTTTTTCCTTCTCTCTCACCTCGTCTTTATCACTCCTCCTTCTCCTCCTCCTCCCCCTCGTCTCTCTCCCTCTTACATCATTTTCTCTCTAAACACCTTCTCCCTCCTCCCTCCCTCCTCCTCCTTTCCATTTTACCTTTCTCTTTCCCATGATTTAAATTCTGCACATCATCTTTCTTACTTTCCTCTTTCCCTCTTACTCTGCCCTCCCCAACCTTGTTCGCCCTCTTTTACATGCTTTCTTACTCTCTTCCTACCTCCCTTTTTTCCCACTACATCCCCACTTCTTCTCCATTTCCTGACATTGTTTCTTTCACTACTTTCTCAAAACTGTGCAATCCCAGTTCTCCCCTTTCACTTTCCTTCTTTTTTCCACTTTTTCTGTCATCTTCTCTCCCCATTTCTCTGCTCTCTTCCGATGTACCTTTCCTAGCTCTTTTCCCCTTTTCTTCTTCTTTTAAACCTTTCTTCTTGCTATCCTTTCCAGATCTTTCTCCTTCGCCTCTTTTCACCCTCCTCTCCCTGATCTTTCTCCATATTTCACCTGGTATTTTTTATCCATCTTCCCTTTTCCCTCCCCAATCTCTCTGCCACCTCCCTTGCTTAATCCCTACATCTTCCCGTGCGCCCTTCTTCTTTCCTCTTGCTCCATTTCCCCCTTCCTTCTCACCTGTCTTTTGTCACTTTGCTTCTCCCACCTCCTTACACATGCACCTCTCTCATCTGTCCTCCCCCAACTCCCCCTTTTGTCACCCCCTCATCTTTTCCCCCACTTTTCCTCTTTTCTTTTGCACATATCTCTACTGTCTTTCTGTCTCTTCTTCCTGGATCATACCCTGCCCCCTTTCTCTGCCTCCTCTTCCTCTTCCTTTCTTTTCTTCCCTTTCATTAGAACAAGACTCCAGCATGTGGCAAATATGAGAAAATTATTAGAAATCCATGAAAAATATATTTTTCATGGAATATATAAGTAGTTAGAAATATAAGTTAGAAAAGTTAAAATGTAAAAAAGAACCTAACAGTTAAAGTAAGGAAATAGATAAAATCATTAAAACACACCTTTTACAACCTAAATCTCAAATAATTCATAAAGCAGATCAATTATATATGCACATTTCTAATTATCGATATCCTGTTCCTCTTCCTCCATCAGCACTGAGAGATAACCGCATCCAGCTGCACCGCTCGACACCCACCGAGCTTTCCATAACCATCGCCGACGTGCAGCTGTCCGATGAGGGCGAGTACACCTGCTCCATCTTCACCATGCCGGTCCGCACCGCCCGAGCCACAGTCACTGTGCTAGGTGGGTCACACAAACACACAGACACACATTGCATATTCACACTATCACACACTGTGCATATTGGGGGAAAGTCTGTCACCATGATGATGCCAAAAACAGGGGTTGCAACTTTTCCAGACCTTGAAATAAACCCTGGACTGTTTCTATCCAGCTGTCATGTATATTAGCATATTCACTTTTTTGATGTTGCTGCTGCTGCAGAAAAGCAGTGTTAAATAGGTTTTCTGGATTTAAAGAAAAGATAACATACATTTTAAAACTCCATTTACTCTATTAATCCTAACCGTTCTATCTCCTGTCTGTCCATAAAGGAGGATCCCTCTGTGAGGCCATCCTCAGGTTTCTTCAGATTTTTCTTTTCTATTTAGGCTTTTCTGAAAACAGTGTTCTCTGTTCTCACTGAGGCCTAATGGTGCAGAATGACATTCTTGCCTCGTGTTCATACTCAGGCATGTCTCCTTTGAGACTGATTGACGGCTGTACAAATCAGCTTGACTGCAGTCGGTCTTAATTTCTCTCCCAACCTGTGAGAGTGTGACAAATCTAAATGGATGATTTGAAGGTTTTGGCATCTTTTCTTATCGTCTCAGTAGTTGTCACGTTGTTTGTAACAATTTCACATCGATTTTTCAGACGACACAGAAAATGTAGGCCTATGAAATGACAGAGTAGTTCAACTTAGGAATTATGAGAAAGTGGCTCAAATTCACCTTGATACACCGCTGTGGCGTTGTGCTAGCCTGACCTACCCTGCAGAGTTTACCCTCTCTCCAAGCAGAGTGAAGTTTGACCCTGTGGATGTCCATTTTAAGTGTGACATGCTAGGAGAGGCTGCCTGTTGGCATGAGGCAAAGTATTGCTACTACAGCAGTTTAGTGTTTCGCTCCCATAAAGTTAGAGGACTTATGAAAGACGGATTAGAAAATAATGTCTGCAATCAATGCAGCAAAGGCTGATTTATCCTTACTTTTAGTCCCCAGTATGGGTAAAGCTGCGAAACACTGCATCCTACGTTGCCCATAATGCAAGCTCATTGCATCTTTTTGTTAGATTCTGTTCTCTCTATGTCATGTAAAACTGCCAATCTGCCGTGTCACACATGAATTCCAAAAAAAGATCATAATAAAGTATCCCTTTTATGGTCTCTGATGTTTTGCACCCTTAGCCTTCCCTGTGATGCCTTCATCTAGTTTGATCCAGATCCTTGCTTACAGCGTTAACCTTTGTGTAAGGTTGTGACCTCATATGACTCTTGTGCGGAGATAAACCGGCTCCACTCATCTCCTTTGAGATGGATGTTATTGCCTATGTGTGATGCTTCCCTGCAGCCTGCAATAAATTGTGGTCATGCTGTCACTGCTGAGTAGGGTCTGTTTATTGATTGGATATTGGGCTAATCGGCTTTGGACACCCACAAACAGTCTTTCAAGTATTGATTTTTACCAGGCAAGTTGTTATTGTTCCTCATTCTGGCCATATTTCCGTGGTTTTACTTGAAGATGAGAACAAAGTATTGGGCTTGGCAATACTTTAATGCACCAACTAATGGCCACACCACACCACAATGGAGACTTACTGTATACATGAGAGAGACAGCTGGTCTAATATTCCTGGGAGGTTGCGGTGGGTAGTTTTACAGACAATATTTCAGGGCGTATCATGCCACTTTTGAATTGCTGTGTAATGAAATTGAGGCATTCTTTGTGCTGATCACAAAAAAAAATGCATCAACATTTATTCAGTAAATGAGCTTCCATTGCTTAATATTGCCTGCCTTCTGATATAGACAGAGCATACATGTTTGTGATATTTTGGAGTGGTTTTTCTATATCAATTTTAGATATTTTCTCTGAGCTTTTCTAATTCAATACACAATAATTTGCCAACAAATTCTTGGATGGGAACTGAGCTGCAGTGGGTGCCTGCCTAATTCACTTGGAAAATGCACCAAGTGAAAACGAGATGCTGAAATTTTGATATTTAGGGTGGGGCAGGGTGGCTTAGAACGGCTGTTATGTAGCTGAGAGGCCACATGGTTGCTCCCCAAATTTGGGGTTTGTCAGTCCGCAGCTGTGGTAGCGTCCTTGAATAAATCATTTTGTTGATATTTACTGAAATGTTTTGGCAGTGCTGCAAAGTATATCGAAAATAATTAAATATAGTTGCTTTGGACAACAGCATGAACAGAACGCCTGAAATGTTAATGTGATGGTGTGTGTGTGTGTGTGTGTGTGTGTGTGTGTGTGTGTGTGTGTGTAAGGGGGGGAGGGGAGTATGTGTGTGGAAGCAAGGGTGAAGGCGGGTCTACATTAGCTCCTTAATTTCAAATTAACATGAGAATCACTCCTCCATATCTCTTCCAATTTTGCAGTAATTGTGATTTCAAGCATTTTTTATTCGCTGTAATTGACGGCTGTGACACTGTATTCTGAGTTCAATAAATATTTCATGACCCCTGAGAGGGAGCCAAACCATTAAAAATGTATGGTAAAATGTCTAAAACGCATGGACCCCTATGGGAAAATCAGCCACAGACATCGAGTTTTGGCACCGCAGCATCCATGTGTGTGTGGGTGTTTTATTCTTGTTTTGACATGTGCAAGGTTTTGACAGACACATGCACAAACACACGCGGGCGCACAACTGCTGAGTACGGTCAGTTTTAAATGGTTGTGTGTCTGTTAGTGTAAAATGTGTGGCATGCCTCGCTGCTCTCTCCTGAGCTAAGCAGAGAATAATTTATAATGGCTTTATTCTCTTTTATTCTCCTTGTAGAGGAAAGGGTCTCGACAGGGCTTCTCCAGCCAATTCTATATGTGCAGTATTATTCCCTCATTAATATTCAATGCTACTTTACTGCCAGAGAGCTTCCGCACACAGTGCACTACATCAAATACTGCTACATTAAAAATTGACCACATTTTTATTTTTTTGATCTATACCTTGGTTAGTTCACTGCACTTTATATTGGTACTTCCATGTCTGTGTCTGTTTGCTTGTCTACCTGCAGGGGAGACACTTTATCTATCTATCTATCTATCTATCTATCTATCTATCTATCTGTCTATCTATCTGTTAGGGTTATAAATCACTAGTTTCATCATGATACAATATTTTATTGATTCTTTGGGCAATGATATTCGCTGATATCACAAAATCTGCCACAATATAATTTCGATTACATTCAGGGGCTTGCAATTGATCAGAGATGACCTCATTTGCTTTTGGCCATAGAAGATAAAAACAACACAAATAATCATAAATTATTGTAACTGGTTAAGTGCAGTAAAGTCTACTTTAAACTGACTCCACTAACACATAAAACAGCACACAGAATTGGTTTCTGGCAGAATTTTTGTTTTCATTTTAACCCAAAACATGATCTTTTCCCGAAAATTTCAGGGCTGTCTGGCTGAACGCCCTGAAGGCAAACTTTTCCTAAGAGCCATAAAAGATATCAACAAAATCCTTTAACAAAAGTGTAAAAATCAGCTCAATAATAACTGTCAAGTTTCATAGACAAAAGAATCGTTGTTTGCTAGCCTAGCCTAGCAACTAGTGGACTTTCCCTTTACTCATAGCTTAACAAATTACATGTATTATTTATACTTTAACTTAGTCACCTTTGGTTTAAGTCACTGCATCTCCCGATAGAATAGCGCCGTTGGATTTTAGCCTGCGTGCACATTTTATTGCCCCAACAGTGTTGAAACACAGCAGCCAATGTTGCCGTGGTGAGAAGTTAGCAGAGTAAGATGCCGGGCCACGCAGGTACATAACGGTTCCTGAGTATTTGAGCTCATAATGGCATTGTGCTTTGTTTGTCTGTCTGACCCGTATTTTCTCAGAAATCCTAAATATTTTCACACTGCTGATTTATTCCCGAGCAAATAACGTTATCTGCATTGTCTTTTCATTGGCTGCTTGCCATTATCTGCCTGGTGCCTGGTATCATCTGGATGTTGCTATGGATCGATGTTTTCACTTTGCGCTGATGATATTGGACCGTTAATCACTAATCGATACATTGATCAAGATTGATGGATTGCTACACTCTATCTATCTATCTATCTATCTATCTATCTGTCTATCTATCTAACCTACCTACCTACCTACCTATCTGTCTTTCTCTCTGTCTATCTGTCTTTCTCTATCTCTCTAAAATTCTACTTTTTTCTGGCATGAAAAATGTCACAAATTTCAGTAATTGGTACAAAATCTTGTCAGTTTTAATGAAAATATAACAGTTTCCCTCCTGGCTTTCCTTAATGACTTGGTCTCTTCTCACTATCTTTACTTTTCTGTCTAACTCTCCGCTTCCACTCTTTCAGCTCTCACTCTTTCTCTCGCTGGCCATCACTCTCTCTCTCTCCTACCTTAGATGGCAAACCAAATGTTCATTATTTTCAAAAGCAGAATGACAGTAAACTCCGCCAACACTTGGAGAAAAGTGCCGCCCACAACGGCTCCAGATGGAGTACGGCAAGAAAAGTTTTTTTTTCACTCTTGCCTTCAACCACGGTGGTGGAGAGTGGATTCTAAAATATTTGGCAGAGTGGATTTGTAGATTCCTTCTCCTGCTTGTGTTGTTTTCTCTTCAACTTGGGCTCCATGTTAAAATAGTAATTAAGCAAAAATGTTCTTATTTTTACTGACTGTGCCGGAATTTGGAAGAACACCTCTGGGAGAGGAAGATATATCATGAGATTTTGGTTTGGCTCGGGGTGTCTTGGTGGCTCACTTGGCTAAAGCCAGTTTGAATCTGACCTTTGGCTGATGTCATCCCTCTGTCCCACTCAGTTTTACTTGCAAACTATCACACAAGGCACCAGTGCCTGAGTCATTCTAACTCCCACCTTGGCTTTTAACTAATGAAATCTGGGAGTCGTATTTAATAATCTCTGCTAAATATAATTTACTTGACATTTTGAACTGACCTGGAGTTCTGAGAATGAACAGTCAGTCTGACTTGAATTGTAGAAATGCCAAGGCTGTCAGAGTTAATGCAGAGCTCGTTCTGCTGGTTTTAAAGGGATTACTATGGGCAGAAATAAGTGTCACTAGAAACTGAATTTGGATCATTTATATTTGAATTTGATACGCTCAACTTGAATAATTGCATTAAAAATGAATTTCAATCACCTCGTTTGAATTTTTATTGTTTAATTTGAATAATTTTATTGAAAAACTGAATCTAAATAACACATTTGGAAATTGAATTTATCAGTTTTGAACTGAATAAACTCAAAACTGAGTGTAATATTATGAAATCTAATCCTGTTGCTCTGAAACTGTGTTTGATCCTCATTGAAAGTTCAGCACTCTATACTTGCTCGATCAGTTCTCACAATAGAAATTCAGTTCTGGCAATCCAGTTTCACTTTACTCAGACAGACATCCTGATGTTGAGGAAGAGCAGTGAGGTACAGATTCACAGAACTCCTTGTCACGTACTATAACAACCATTTTCTCTCAGTGATATCAATGACCAAGAGAGTTAGACTATTTTTCTGTCTTTATTCAAGAGTGTGGTCTTTCAGTTTAAAAGCATGACTCATTAATTTCACGTTCCTTGTCTTCGCATTCAATTAGCCCCTGCTTGTGCTTAGGGTTAGGGTTTGGGTCCAACCTTTGCTGCCAGGAGACTACTTCGCCAGGAGGAGAGCAGGCAGCAGTATGTTCCAGTACGAGAAAAGGAGTTCTGTTATCTGTACTTGACTGCTGTTTGTCGGCATCCCAAAGTGGGTCTCAGTGAACTGAAATGGAATTGCAAGAACCGAATTTTAGTTGCACGAACTGAAAATGGAGGTAAAGAGAGTTGAATTTTCAGTGAGGATCAAATACAGTTTCAGAGCAACTGAATTCAATTTCATGATATCACATTCAGTTTCATGTTTATGAGTATTCAGTTCCAACTAATGAATTCAATTTAAAATTGTGCAGTTCAGACTGATTTTATTAATGCAGTTATTCAAGTTAAACAATAAAACTAAAAATGATGTGATTCATTTTCAGTTCTTAATGCAGTTACTTAAGTTGATCAGTTCAAATTCAAATACAAATGATTCAAATTCAGTTTTCAGTGACACATTTCTGCCCATAGAAATTATCATTTTTCACACTGAATTCATGGCATTTCCATGTCATGCAAATTTTGCGATACTTGATATGAGCCACAAGTGCTGTAGGCATGTACAGTTAATGGGAGACTGTATGTTTCTTTTTGCCTCTACATTCAGTTTCTGTTCGTTTCCGCAATGTTTTCAAGTCTTACTAAAAGTGTGGTTCATCTTATGACTGCTGTGCACTTAGAATCTGAACTTTTCATGATGCATTTATAAAGGAAATTTTAGTCAGACTCAGACTCAGTATGTTATTGTAAAACTCCCCCGTATTACTAATAGCCCTCTGCAATGAATCACAATTTCAAAAACCCAACATTTGATAGTGCTAATAGATATATGAAACAATCTGTACACGTTTATCAATGATAAAGCATATCTTTATTTGTATAACTAGTGATACACCGATTCAATACGCCAAATTGTTATGTGGCCTGATTCTGATCTTATTAAAGTGAGCAGGTTTGGGTATGGACAAGAAATAACTGATCCACACTGAATATAGTTTCTTTGTCAATGTTATTACAAAATGTAATGTTTCCGCTATCAACGCCTGCTGAGCTTTTAGTGTCCCTGGCGTCATGTTACTGCTGGATGCAAATGTTCTTTTTAATCAAATTTTATCTTCACAGTTTTTACATGAGCTTATTGATATTTGGCAAATTATTCTCTTGGTTCAATTTAAGAACAAACACTATTTGGTTACAGTTAGGGCGAAATCACGAAATCACGTCACCTTTTGTCAGAGACCACAGCTCTAACAGCACTCTTTAGTGTTAAACTCCCACCCTGACCTTCTCTCTAAGAAAATTTGTGATGCTGTAACATTAAGCTACGTCTGCCTTTCTCTCTGAGTCACAGTAGTCATTATTTGCACAGCCGTAAGTGGTCGGTTGCCAGGAAAGCATAACAATATTCTAGTGCATCTGCCCCTTAGTGCTCTGGTGGACACTGATGGGGAGACAGTAGCTTTGATGCTTCTGGAAAGTCGTGGTGAACAGAAGCTTTGCAGTCATTCTGAGCTGCTGTGCAATGACTCTGAACCATTTTTTGAGTCAAATCATTGCAAGCCTGCATCATTATTTTTCTCCAAGCTGGTTTCCATCAGAGCTTTCGAAATTGACCTAATAAATTCAAGCTTGTCTGTGATATTGAGGATGGCGTGTCAAATTTTGCTGTTGATATTCATTTTGCTCCAAATTCCACACAGTGCACAACAACTTATGCAGTACTTGTTAGCTCAGCCGTTGACCTTTCTTTGATTTTTTTCCCACTTTTTCTGGCTACAAGGTGAGCCCTGCAGCATGGAAGATCTCTCTCTCTAACTCTCTAACTCTTTCTGTGTCTCTCTAGGTGTGCCCGGTAAACCTCAGATCTTGGGCTTTGAGAATCCAGTGCCGGAGGGGGGCAAAGTCACCCTGACCTGCACCAGTGCAGGCAGCAAACCCCCTGCCAGGCTGCGCTGGTTCCGAGACGACCAGGAGCTGGAAGGTGAGAGACACAGAGTGTGTGGTTGCTCTGTGTGTGTGTATGTGTGTGTGTGTGTGGGGTCAGAAATTGTGAGTTGGATGTGTCTGTTGTTGTACTCTGGCTTGTACTCATGCTGGATCTGTGTGTGAGTTAAGGACGCGCATGGGTGTGGTAATGTGTGTGTAGCACAGTGTGTGTGTGTGTAGCTACAAGGATAGTCCGTAGGAATGTGAGAATGTGGTTTGTGCTTGTGCGTTTGTGTGTATCTCTGTGTGCTCACAGTAAGTGTTTGTGTGATCCTGCAGTAATGACTGTGCATGGGGATTTGTGAATGTGTGTATGTTTGTACACAAGTACGAATTTGTGCCTCGTGTATGAGCATTTGTGTGTGTATTTGATTATGTATGTGTGAGAGAGTAGCTTGTGTGTGAGATCATGCTGCGTGTGTATTGTGTCCTTGCCACGTTGCCTGCTGTCTCTCTGTGTGTCCTAAACCTGTGCCTGCATATGTGTGTGTGCGCAAGTGCTAGAGCTCGCTGCCTGTGTGCGCGAGTGCATGGACATGCTGCGAGTGTGTTTGTGTTTGTGCCCTTCTTTCCAATCATTCCTTCACGTCCTGATCCTGTAAATTTGTGCCTATGCATGTATCTGGGAGCTGTGTATGTGTTTGCTGTTATTGTATTTTGAGTGTGTGTTGATGCAGGGTTTATTTGTGCAAGTGTGTGTGTGTGTGTCATCTGTTGAGCTGCAACATATCTGCTACTGGGAGTGACACAACAGAGAGCCAGAGATAGCGTGGGTCGGATCTAGCCAGGGATAACGACAGAATCCAGCAATAAAAGGCAGGGCGGAGGAGAGGATGAAGGGATGAGGTCGAACAGAGAAACATAGATAGAGAGAGCTTTGCATGAGGTCAGACCGACTGGTTTTTTGTTACAGATAAACGGGAGAAATGAGCGGGGAAGAGAAAGGGAGAAGCAGAGAGAGTGCAGCGAGGATGTCATGAGAGGACAAATTAGCCGGCGTCTTTCTAACAGATAAACTGAAAACCGTGGAGACGATTGGCAGCCTCTGAGTCACACCAGTGGTATTGGCAGTGGTAGCGTTTCTCCAAATTGTGACCATGTTTCCCGTAAACCCCCCGCCTCTTGTTGCTTCATCAGTCAAAGGTTTTCTGTTTTGCTTTACCGAGCAGAACAAACATGTTGGAAGTGTTGTTTCTGTCACCCTTTTGCTCCTTCCGCCATCTGCCTTCACCAGAAACTCTATAAGCTTTAAAGCTCTGTTTGCATTGGAAGAACAGCGCCCTCTGTCTGCCTGCAAAGCTCTCCAGCAGATGTCCGCTAAGTCTGTGTAAACTGCAGTGTTCAGACTGGTGGAGCTTATTTGCAGTGGCCTTTTCTACAGTAATTATACCATTATAATACGATGATATAATATGATAATGATTTATTGATGTGAAAATGCTACACTCTACACGGCTTTGTAATGCAAAAATGCCCGTCTTGTGTCCCGATGCCTTGGCAGTGGTAGTGTTTGCTATAATTATGGATTGAAATGAATCAAAAGAATGGACTGAAGCTACAAAGAGAAGGAGGTATGGGAGAGCTGCCCGCCTGAGGACAGATTATCTGGTCTTTTTGTTACTGCTGAACTAAAAGCAGGAGACAGAGGAGTCTGGAGATTGTTGGTTTTTTAGAGAGATTGGATTTTTGTTCAAAGGTTCAGCTCACCTAAAATAAAAAAAAAAAAAAAAGATGTATTTTTCCTCTTACCTGTAATGGTATCAGGCAACACAGATAGCTTTGGTTTTATTTGTCCAGATTTTGAGATATCCGTCTCTTTTTTCTGCCAGCAATTTAGTATAATGGGGTGAATGCAATGTTGTTTGTAGTGCTCACAACTAGGGCTGCACGATTAATCATTAGGAGATTACAATTTTGATTCGGACACGTTTGTAATCTCATATCTGATGGACAACAATTCTGCCATATTTGCTTTGGGGGGTTGCATATTTAGAATGAATGCTCATAATTTGTCCCTGCTGCGGCACATACAAATGCATTTCAAGGCTGACAGATTGCTGCTGAACCTACAGTACCACTTCGCCAACAACAAACCAAATAAGCCATAAAGCTTTCTGTGAGGTCAGGCTGGGTCACTGTAAGGAGCGTTTGCTAAAGAGATAGCTAGCATAATCCACCACAATAAGGCAGCCGAGCCCTTTGATAACTTTTGCCAACTAGCTAGCCAAAAGTAGAAAGCAGCAACATTACATTATATCACCAGTCATTCTGTCAAAATGCTGGGTCAGAGCTGGTTGTTTGCTAATGTGCAATGATGAGCCCTGATAAAAACATGATATCATTACACATAGAACAGTTTGGCTCTATCTCACACAGTCTGTTTGTGGGGACAACCTCAGTAAACTAAGTAGCTTATGCTCTGCTATGCTTGCTGTTGTTACGTTAACAAATTGGGATGAAGCCAGAGTTGACGGCTAAACTTGACTGTCACCAACATCTTAATGTAGACTGTAAAAATACAATATCAGAGTATTGTGAAGTCAATGAATCAACAATTTTATTAGGAAAAGTAGTACACATGAATGCACATGTACCAGGGCTGCTCCCTGAAAGTCAGAGATTCGAATCATCAGTTGGAGACCCCTCAGTCAACTAGGATTGCGTCAAGTTGAGCCAATGTATGGTCAGTGTACGGTGCAACGTACCTCTGGGGACATTTTGTTCCCCAGATTTAGCTTCAGAGAGATTGCTCTTGACTTTCACGATATTCTTTGGTACAGTAAACTCTGGACAAGATAAAGTGGTGAATTTACAGCTCAAAGCAAATTAAAACGATACAATCTCTGGCTTTCGTTTGATGTCTAGTGTCGGAAAATAATGCTGTTGCACATTTCCAATTCATCGTTAGTGCAGTTAGCTTGTTTGCTTAATTGTGTGAATGCCGTTGTCAGACTGAATGTCCCGATGAGCCCATTCAAATTTAAAACTTTATAGATTTTTAAATAAATAAATTGTCGAATAGTAGTATTAAACAGCCAAATTCGATTCGACTGACATAATTCGGATTCAGGTCCTGCCGCATATGTTATTTCCGTTTTTCAATCTTTTGCACAAACTGTTAAATTGCAAGTCTTATCCAAATTATGTTCAGCATGAAACAATCCATCCTCTCAACTCTACTGCTCTCCTTTATGAACTTATTTCCTCCAACTCCTAGAAACCATTTGTAATACTCTGGGTTGATGATCACTTTTACAGACAAGCAATGCAGTCACCAAAGAAAATAAAAGCTTTCCCTGAGCACAGTGAGAGAACTAACTCTTCTCTAATTCTAATTCTTAGAAAAAAGAATTTGTAATTCTCATATTACCAAGAATTGTGCAGCCCTGCTCACGATTTTGAAAAGTTTTAGTAAAAATGTATTTGCAGCACTCTGTCTTTCCAGGAAAAGAAAATGTTTTAATTACTCTGCTCTGTGCAAGCTGCAGACTTTGGTGTGAAGAGTTTTTATAGGAACTACCTCTTCTGAAGAAATAGTCCTATCCCCCGGTATTATGTGTATATTGAACATATTTACATACAGTGCCGCTGCAGAGAGCAGCGTGCGCTTTGTGTGGCAAAATGAAAGGTAATATTGTGGAGGTGTGGGAGCTAAATGGGCTTTTTTTTAACCATACCTTAAAGGGGCACTGCAGCAAATTAGTATGCACATCCACAAAGTTAAGGAGTGCACAAGAGCTGTTCCTCTTTTTAAAAGGAATGGTCAAAATTTATCAGAGGCTCTGACTTTTTCCTGCCTGGTATGGGTTAGGCTCTAAAAACTTTGGATTCATGAATTTCCCATAATACAACTTGACAGCATCTTTCATGAGACCATCCCTGTCTGGTAAAGCTCCATGTCTCTGAAAAACCCATGCTTCAGTTTATAACACAGGCTTTTTGTTAAAAAAGTTGTAGAGTCTCCAATACATCACAGGGTTGTTTTCTTAGACTTTGGAAAATGCCCTACAGAGTCACAGAAGACATATAACTGTTTTCACAGGCTGAGTAGTACTCCTCACAACTTTGTGCTCTTTTAACTGTAGTTTATAAGACATAACCAGGATTTTTACCCACTACCATACAACATTGCAGAAATAAATAACTTGGTGCCAAAAGTGTTGGCAGTGAATGTAAAAAAAAAACAGTTAAACATCATCTAGGGTTTTGCTGAATCAATGGTCCTGTCTGGGAGCAGAGTTGCAGCCAAAGGAACAGGGACACTGGCTGTGTTATTTGGGTGAACCGACCCTTTAAAATACTGGGCGAACAGAGAAAATAGAGAGACAGACAGATAGCGATTTGAAGGAGATCAACTCGATGTGAATGATGATGTGTTCGAGGCCTTGCCCAGCCGTCCTGACACCGCACAACGCCAATCAGTCATTGCTGGAATGGCACACACACTCTTTCTCTCTCTCTCTCTCTCACACACACACACACACACACACACTCTTTCGGTTTAACACACAAACACAAGTAATGGACAGATGATAATCACACGCGCACACACACACACACACACACACACACACACACACACACACACACACACACACTGTCACACAGTGCTCATCTCTGGCTAGATAGCGCAAGAGCACTACGGGTCAGCGTGCTATTATTACAGCTTCTCATTCATGCAGTTATAGCCTGTGCTGAAGTGTGTGTGTGTGTGTATTGGAAAGATGAGCCCATAGACTGCTGCTCACCACTGCTTCTCTGACAGCTTCTCTGACAGTAAAAAGAAAGAAGTAGAGAAGGAAAGAGCGAGAAGGGAACGAGGGCGACACAGATGTAGAGAGTGTGTGTGTGTGTGTGTGTGTGTGTGTGTGTGTGTGAGTGAGGGAGAGAGAGACGCCTTGTATCAAGAAAGTGACAGTGAGGGACTGCCGAGAAAACAGAGAACAGAGAGGGAGTGAGTGAATAAGCGAGTGTGTGTGTGTGTGTGTGTGTGTG